TAGTTTCATGCAGGACAGAAGGGGCATAGTGCTCTCCGCAGCCTCACTAGACTTGCCTCCTCCCCTGCCTCGGATGTGGCAGCCCCTGTGATAAGGCAATCCTGGTGCAATGCAACATCATAGTGTAGGAGCTTTCCTTGTACTGCTCAGGAGCTCCAGGCTACTCAGGAACCACGGATTGGTAGCTGTATGAATGCTCATTTCTTTGGAGACAATTCTCCTTAATTTCACAGCCAGGTTGTATTTAAAAGAGAATATTCACATGATGCTGGAAGAATAAGGCTGAAGAGTATTTGGTGACTTTTCTGGACTTTTGGGAATGTTTGATTTGAATAAAGGCTGTCTGCTTAGTCCCCATAGCTGTACAGCCTGGGGACAGGGCACCTCACTAGCCAGCTCTGAGTGACAGCCACGCTCTCATGGCGAATGAACGAGCTGGGAGTTCTGACTAGTGGCAGGGCCATCAGGTGCAAGAGGAATGCTTTAGCTGTTGTCCTTAATCTGCAGTTTCTCGGTGGGAGCGAGGAGTACCTTTCCATTCAGCATCCTTCCCAGAAACGTTAGTGTTTGTGAAGTTCAAAATTAAAAACTAGAAGGAGGCCTGTCTTGCCAGGCACTGACTGTGCTTTGAGATTGGATGTCAAGTGCCAAAGGCTGTGGGAGAGGTTTTGGACCAATAGAAAGCAGGAAACAGCAGAAACTTCACAAGAGATCCCACTCTGTGTCCCATATCGTGGTCCCAGGTGAGCCTGCAAAAACCAGTGGACCATAAGCCGGAGCCCTTTTGGTGGGGAAGCAGTGCAAACACATTTTCTTTATGTTCGGCAGCAGGAGTGAGCTGCACGCAAATGTCTTGCTAATTAAGCTGCTGTAGGAAATGGGAACTCAGCCAGGCATACAAAGAGCAGGGAAAAACCCTAAAATGAAGTGAGTTAATATTAGCACAAGTTACACCAACCTCATCATGAGGAACCATAAGGGAGAAGGAGAGGGGCTAAGCAAGGTCACGAAAAATGATCAAATTGTGTGTGTGTGCATATACACGAACGCATGAATACTTTGACAAAAGCTAGTGGTGGATTGTTGAGGGGCCAATGCAGCTAAGTTCCTGCTTTGTTACATAGATAAATTGCCAAAGGAAACATTATCCAAACAGTTCTACTTCAAAGGCAAAACGACAAGCTTTGGGGAACTTGCGGTACTTTCAATCTGGCCAATAACCAAGTGTAAAGTGTAAAATATACATGTTTAGGAAGTAGGACACATGCCGTTCAAGACAGGCCTTTCCCATGCTCTCAGACCAGTGCAGCTTCATTTGATGTGCAAATGCATGATGTGTGATCTGTCCTGGCAATGTGCTGCCTGCCAGCAGCACAAACATTTCACAAGCACCCTTTTGGGTTACTTCAGCCTGCTGTGTGCACAGCCTCCTTGGCAACCTCTGCAGCTGGAACTTTTCTTACAGTCTATTGCTGTTGTGGTTGCACAATCCAGGTTTATTTAGCAGGTCTCGTCAAAAGACTCCAGGCAGATAAAAACACCTCAAAACCAGCCTGGAATTGCAGGATTTGATGTTAGATACTAGGATTAAATGGCAGTACAAGGAATGGTTCCAGTAATGCACTGGGGAACATACCAGTAATGCAGACTTCACCGATCCTTAAAGCAAATTGTCTTGGCAGATGTCCCAGCCTCCCTGGGCATTGGAGGCTTTGGGGCATTACAGCTCATGGCAAGGGCCCTCCATAATGTGTTTATAAATGTCACCTGAAATCAGGTGAAATAACGTTCCCTGGAGTGCTTCCTGGCACTGCAGGCACGGCCAAAAATGTGTGTGCTGTGCACAGTACAGGAAGGCCTCTGCTGTTGGGCGAAACTCATCCTATAAACCCATGAAAAGTAACAGTGCAAATGCTCACCATATAGAAGCAGTGGATCGTGGGTGCAGTCCTTCTTTTCAGTAGCAAAAAATAGTTGTGGTCTTTACGGTGCAACAGGGCTCTAGAGTACCTGTGCTGGGGGATGAGGTTGGCTTTTAGTGAGGGTTCAGGATTTAAACTCAGCTGGCTGAACTGTTTTAGAATTAACCATTCTTATGAACCAGGGGCACGTAGATGTGCTTTTTCTCCCCCTCTAACAGTAAGCTAAGGGGATTAGGGACGTTATGCAACAGCTCTGGTGACTTATCCCAGTTGTACCAAGAGGCAAGTCACCCTTGTGCCTCTACTTATTGTCTTTGGGACAGATTCTCAGTCACATGTGTGTGCGCAGCCTCTAGGCCTCAGTCTTAGATAACCAAGCACTTGGTGCTGAGCACTAACCCGGTGTAGCAGCTTTGGCTGCACAGACAGCTTAACCTGCTCTTCACCGCTGAAATGACTGAACTTGCACTGCAGCCAGCTGTAATAATCTGTTGCTTGTGTTAACCTTGAATTCCAGTGTGTCAGTTCCGGTCCTCTGAGAAAAATTAGGCAAGTGCTTATTGAAACCAGCATCCCAGCACTCCACATTGTGCTGTGTGGAAGAGGAAAGTGGGACCCCAAGCCCTAGTAGTAGCATATTCTAGCCATGCTTTAGTCACATGAAATTATACCACTACTCTCACATCAGCCTAATCTATGCTTATAAATGGCCCAACTTCATGCTGAAGTCCCCCATTTTGCTTCAGAAGTTCCTGAGCTTTCTGGCAGAGCCACACATAGTTCCCTGATACCTGTGCACTGTCAGGGGACACAGAAGATACAGTAAAGATACAGAAAGAATTAATCAGCTATGTGTTTAACAAGGACGAGGAAGAAAGATGCGTTTTATGCAGCTGTAGTCTAATGTGCTGGGAGAAGTCTGAATGGGTTGGGAATGCTGATGGCATCTAATAGCCACAGAGGCTTTTCCTGCTTCCTGATAGCTATAGCACTGTGAATATCAGTCATTGTGGTATGAAGTTGTTATGAGAAAAATAACTTCCTGTGTTGATGGACTTAGCATGCAGTAAACGGAGATGTATGGATGCAAATGTAAGGTGGTTGTAAATGTACTCTCCAGAGCTCTAGGTGTGACCATGCAGAGAGCCCTAAGTAAGCAACACAGTGTATTGCTTGTCTTTGACTTCCTCTATAGCTAACTGGTGCCCTGAATTCAGCGTAATTATGGGTTCTCTTTTTTCCAGGACAGAACTGAGAAATAAGAGGGCACTGTAACACAGTGCCCCTGCATATGCAAGACATGCTTTTTCATCCTGGCCTCTGCAGGGAGGAAGAGAAAGAGCGTTCTTTGTAACTGGGCACCAATAAATGCGTGAATGCTATTCAAGTAGTATCAATATCTATCACTTTGTCTGAAGGCCACAGAACTGAAATTCTTTTTGCCTTTCTTCACATCCTTTTCCCAGAAGAAATGCACAATTATTTCCAAACTCTCCCTTTATTATAGCTGCATACACGTTTATTGATACATTTACTTTCACTGGCTGGGGCTCCACAGAGTGCTTATTTACTATGGACTGAACTTCGCTCATTTCTGTAGATGACAACACTCCTTGTTTTCAACGGGTTCCAGAACAACCTTCCTTCATTCATTGTGCTTTCAGAAAAGCACTCCATTGCTTGTGCCTATGTGACTGCTTGGAGTGGTGAGACAGGTTGCAAACAGGTCAGAGAGATGGGGAATATGGCAAGTGCTAATTGTCCACTCGCAGTCCCATGACAGAGTGTTGTCCATGCCACTAGTTAAATTGAAACGAAACTCTGCTTAATGTATTCCTGGTATCCCAGACTTTCAGCAACAGTACTTCTTTTTGAGAATGCAATTTCACTCCTATTATTAAGTTTATTCTCTATTATCCCATCTGTTTTAGTCAAGTTACTTTATCTATTGTGATTGCCTGTAGAGTGTTGATTAAACCAACAGTATTATTCTGTGACACTGAGATATAACCATTGCTTGCCATACAATGAAGTAGCTTGGCCTTATTAACCGAGTAGTTACTTTATCTAAATAGGCACCATTTCAAAAGACGACTGCTGTTCCTGGCAATGAAAGCAACCCTGGAACAAAAAAGGGATTGCTTGAGAGACAGTTGTATAATACCTGGCCACGTGAATTTTACTGGCTGTCAAATAACTTTGTCTGTCCTTTTCCCCTGTTTTAGCATTTTGAAATTAAAGACAAGTAGAATATCACTCCATAAAAGATCTGAGTGTTAATTTAATCATCTCTGTGACTCATCTACTAGAGAAAGAAAAGGCATCATGATTTTTTTAAACATTATCCAAAACTCAAGCTGTGATGCAGCAGTTTGCAAGGGTGCCCCACTGGTTCTGATGATTTCAGACCTTCCCCAATAGCTAAACTTTATGACCATGAGGCTGAGGATGAACTTTGGCTATGACCTAGATCTGCAATTCACAAGTGTTTTCCATACAGCTGCAATAATATTCCAGAAAATGTAATTGGCCTTTTACTTCATTCACTTTTGCAAATGAAAATAAAGCTACTGTGAGAGCAGATCTTTTGCTAAGAAAATATTTTTTTTAATATTTTTATAGCTCTGTCAACAATAAAGGAGTCCCACAGTCTAAAGTCTTTCTCTAAACCTTTTTAATGAAAAAAACTTCATAGAAAATATCCTTTTACTTTTTTAATAACATATAACTATATACATGATTAAAAACTGTAACAAAAAGCTGCAGGGACTGGAAAAATGTTTTGTTGGATCCATGCAGATGGTACAAAAAAGGATTTCACAAATCCATGTACATCAAATGGAGCTGCAGTGACAGGGTTGAAAAAAATGGCAACTCTATATTATTTACCTGAATGTACTGGGAATAAAGCACAGACATACAAAATACACAAAAAGAATACAAAAGAGTACACGGTGTAAATGCTGTTAGCACAAGAAGTTTCTTTTTTAAGTAAATAGGAGAAAGGAAGTAAAATCTCCTTTTCCACATTTTATATTGCAGTTTAAAAGATAACTAATCTCTTATTTGCTGTATTTTGTTTTTCTTCACTGTGACATACACTACAGTAGAAGTATATGGCATTTGCATTTAATAACTCAGGAATATTTTGATTCATCTCCACGTCTCTGAAGGTACTGTCATTTCTGAATAACACCATGTATACATATTGCTTTAAAAACACATACACAGCTTGACATGAGTTAGCAATACAAAATATTGAGGGCCACCACACTACACAGTGCTGGATACTCTTGTCCTGATCCAGCAGTATGTTTAAGGACACACACACCTTCAAATCTAAGAGGAATTCCTCAGAGAGTAAAGGAAGTTAAGAACGTGCAGAAATGATTTGCTGATCAGGTCTGGAGTTTTCAACAGTTTGTAGTATAGACTCTGCACCTAGGAAAACTGTTACACCTGAGGCCATAATTCTGTCCTTACACCCCAGATAATGTAGCTACACAGTGTAGATGATTTACTGTACTTTTAAAATAAATTTTCTTAATTCTAGGTTAAAACATAAAATGAAACCTCTTTAAAAAAAGTCTGGGGAATTGATGAGCTCTGCAGCTGGAAAGAAGAAAGAGATGGTGTTTAGTTTGTTAGTTAAAAATTGGAAGAGTTTCTGTAGGCAGCAGGTAATAATGTGAGAGGTTTTAAACACCTCACTTCTAAAAGAACTTGCTCATATTTTTGTCCTGAGCAAAAAAAAGAACAGACATAATTGAAAAGTCAATACCAGCCAGTAAGCTCACCTGAGGCTCACAAGCATGGTGAGGATGGCAAGCCATCATTTAGTAAGAAAATCAAGTCAAGCTTACTTCTTGTCAGGTGGGCTTTTGCTGGGTTCTTCCTGCTGTAACGAATACTTAATAATTCCCAGTGTAATCACAGGCAGTTTAATAGCAGACAAATAAATGGAGCCTGCGTGTGCATATACTTGTTTAAAAAAAGAAAAAAGGTGATAACAACAACAATAACAACAACAACAAAACTAGACAAGCAGTGAAAGCTGAAATATTCTGTGAAGCCTTGGGATCTGTTCCTGTTTGCCTTAACACCCTCCCACCCTGTCTGGCCATGCTCTTTTGGCAGGCAGGTAAAACCTTTCAAGTTCCTGTAAGTGAAGGAGGATTTTTGCTTGTAGCAAGACATAAAATAATTAGGAAAATAAGTGTTGAAAACCAAGTCGCTGTGGGTCATGAAAGCCAAATCTCACTGATAAGTATTTGGATTTCATTGTCCTTCTAATGCTTTGATTCCCTCCCCAGTTTGACCTCTTTATATGAGCATGCTAATTGGAAAGTTGCCAATATACCAGTTCTTGGCTTGTTACCATTCAGTCTTTCATTTTTTAAGAACATCAATGATACTTGTTTATGTTGTTCATGGCTAGCATTTTGGGTAAAATCTGGCTTGTAAAGCCCTGATTGAAACTAGAATGTCAGTACAAGGCAGGTCTGTTTGAGAAGGCAACCTGAAAGCAGTAAGACTTATTTTGTTTATTTAAAGAAGAGATAAATATGTGTGTGCATGCATTTGCATTTAACAGTTTTATAGCTAGAACCGTTATTAAATGATGCCCAATAGCAATTTTATCTCATGGTTTGTTTTATAAAGAAGTAACGATTCTCAGGAGAGTTTTATGAAAACATGCAGAGTTGGTTTGCATTACATATGCAGTTATGTGCCCAGTATATACGTTGCAACTTAATTTCTTAAATATATATTGTGTAACACTTTTTATTCCTGAGTGCTGGTCTCCATAAGGAATAGAGAGGGTGGCATCATGTGCTCTTCTGCACGCGGTCCTTCGTCATTTTAGGAGTTTTTCTGAGGGATCTTTATTGTCACAGTTTTAACTTCAGAATATTCTCTCAATCCACATTCACCCCTAAAAAACAAATTGCAGCATCAACTTACACCAGACATTAATTCTTTATCAAGCAAAAACCTGCAAAGTGATTCCTTGATAAAGTTAAGATATAACCTAAAATTCTCAGCATAGGTTTCTCTTGTACTATGATTTTGTACAGGTTTTCCTTTCATGCCATCTTTCAGAAAACCTGAAGATGAAGTTTCAGTTCAGGTCAAAAGAACAATGAATGGCTCCAGCATTTGATAAGAAGATACAGAATGACATTAAACCCAGAAATGCTCACTGTCCGTTGATGGAACTGTTGGGAGTGGATTGATATACCCTGTCCTTTACGGACCTTCAAAATGTCCAAACACCAAGACCTACGCCACTGGCTAGTGAAATTACTGCTTATATTTGCACTGAAGAAAGAGAAGGTCCAAACTGAGTATTACGGAAAATGAACTACTCACAACCCTGGGTAAAGATGAACTTGACTCCTAACCCACTGATCTTTTTTCCCTGACAAAATATCCGGCAGCAGAAACCAGCATTTGCACATACTTTGAAAGAGCATTCAGCTTGCTCAGATTTCCACTAGATTGATGTAGAAGACCTCTTTTAGTCCTGGCAAAGCATCTGACGTAGATCCTCTATACTGCTAGAAGCTAGCCCCTTACTAGCTCCCAGTCATCTGACATATGTCTCTGAGGGGACCACGTTCTGCTTTGGATAAATTATGCTTAAGAAATGGGTGTTTCTGAATGTTGTGTAGATTTTGTTGTAGTCAGCTCTGGCCTGGCTCATCTCTTAGGCAACTTTGCTGAGGTTTAGAGTGGGTATTGCATGGCTTCTTGGGAGTTATGCCTGTCTTCTCTGAAGTATAGGTATTTGCATTTGCTGTGCCTATTTTGAGTAATAGAGAAGTGTGTTCTAGTCAAGTCATTAGTTAAGTTCTAATATGTCTGCTGGATGCTGTGTATGTAAAGCAAACAATGTCCCCACCTCAAAACAGGTACAGTCCAAGTCTGGAAGTAGAGTATCTCTTCTGCATGAACTCATATGAGGATTCTTTTGTACAAGCTCTTACAGACATTTGTTTCTTGGTTAAATTCTTATCCCCACCCCTAAAACACACACAATACTGCTCCCTTACTTATATTAAAATCTAAAAAGTGCTGACATGCCTATCATGTTAGCATGTTTACTATTTGACACTGCCTTCCCTCTGGATCCCTCTGTGTAGAATTTAATGCCAACTGCACCATAAAGAATATTTCAGGGGAATTCCTCAGAACTTCCTTCTAATAAGCGTTGCTTTCAGAATGGAGTGAGGGCCCACTGTTCAAAGCAATTATACCCCTCTGTATGCCCACGGTGTTGCAAAGCCTACTTTGTATTTACCTCTGCACTGTAAATTTTACACAAAATATACCATCGGGGAGGAACTCCTGTAACCTTCCTTGGAAAGTTAATTCATTTGGGCAGAAATATCAGTATTTACTAGCCCATTTCACTCCACCTGCAGTTTTGAAAACTTTCTGATGTGCCTGTTCGCTTAGTTAGCATTACATGTGATATAGTGGCTGATATTTAACTCAGACTGATGATTCAGTAGGCATTTTAAGATGTACCAGAGTCTAAGTACATGCAAGGAAATATATTAGTAAAGATTTTTTGACATGTGAAAGGTTGCCATTGATTTGGACCACCCCACCCCCAGCTTTCCGTAGAAAGTGGTAGATTTGTCTCCAAAGAATGACCAAAAACTTTAGCTATTTATCAGACTCGGCTGAGCCACAGAACCATTCCCTTATGTCTCAGTGGAAGCTGTCACCGGGAGCCGCATGGAGCCCAATAACTAATGCTAGTAAGTCTCTCTGTGTGAAAGTTTCTGCTTGATTCAGTAGGGCTGTGGCTTGGCTCCAGACACCTGTTGCACACATTCTGAAAAGTCAATAGATAACCTAGCCAACAGAGTATCCACCGCCTTTATGTATGTTCCAACTGCCAGCTGGTTTCTTATCTTGGTCTGGCAAACAAAATTAGATACATTTATTGTCTGTTTCTTCAGCTCAAGGCTTCAGGGCCTTACGCATTTGTTTTCTGGCTGAAAGTTTGGAAGTGGACAAATGTGAAGAATTCTAAGGCAAGTATTTTTCAAAAGTTAAAAAGTTGCTCTTGCTGAATAGGAAGATGGGTCATTCCACACATTCAGAGCAGAAGAGCCAGTGTGTGTTCAGTTAAAGGGCTCGCTTGTCCCCACAGCCTAATACAGGGAAGTAGGGAGCAATAACATCCTGTTCTATGGCCACTTTGGGTCGTCTTGGATTGCAGTTTGGTATCAGGGTGAGAACAAGGGTTGTGTCTGTGAAAAGGAAGGAGCCCACGGGTCAAGTTTGCATGATGCTATCCCTGGGTTGTGTAGGTGTGAGGGAAGGGGAACAAATTGCTCTTCAAAAAGAAATATTACATATTCTCTTCCCTCCTTCAGTCCAAGAGAAAAAAGATAAGGAAAAGAATGATAACTCCAAGCCGTTCCGCTTGCATTTTGGGGAATGCAACTATGTACTGCTGTATCTCAGAGCTATCCAGACGATACTAATTCCTATGACATTAAAAGATAGTTCTGAAGTAGAATGGCACCTCCTTCCCTTGCAGACATTTAGACAGAGACCAGAATTTTGAGGGACTCTGATATAAAATGGCCACATGTGGCTATCTGGGATGAGTCACCTGATTTTTAGTTAGAGGAGTTAAATTTTATACCACTCAGGTAGTAATAAGAAGCTTTAAAGAAGTGTGAATGTAAAAAAATCCCTCTTTCAGACTCCTTTAAGAATGCAAGAATATTGTAAGTAGCCTTAATGTAAACAGAAATCAGCTGTATTATGTACATGAGTTCTGGTTCTCTACTGGTATGCACATACCCTGCTGCATTTTGTGGGAGTGTAAAATGAGTATAGCAGATCTCAGCCTTCTGTGTTCCTTTTTTTCCCCGTGTGTGATAAAAATACGTGAATTTAAATGCAGGAACAAAACAAGTCCCAGATAATACAGTGCTAGCACAGACAGCACAGTGGCACAATTATGATCTGGCTGTAACATAGTATTAGCTTAGCAATGACACACCTATGTATGGACATTTTCTCTTCTTTTCTTTTTGTTCTTTAATTGCCTGAGTCAACATTATTTATGCTGTAAAATGTATCCCTTAAAAACAGGGATCTAAGAAACTGTGGCATTTTAATAAAAAGTAGGCAGATATTAATGCAGGGTGGAGGAGGTGAATTAGAAGGTGATATCTGATCAAAGACGTTCTGAAAGGAGTAGAATAATTACTCATAAGTAGATTTTCAGGCATCTTTGTGAGATAGAGATTATTGCCATTCCAAACATTTATTGTTTATGATGAATATTTTCAAAGCTGTAGATGGGAATCAAGTGTACAACTACCATAGATTTTTCCGTGGGAGATGGGGTGCTGCCTGGTTTTCCCCCCCTTTCAAAAACTCTACGATATCAATATGTGAATATTTGGCTTGCACAGTTAACCTCCCTGAAGTCAATGGGGTCACTCTTGGGTGTCAAGTTACTCATGTGCTCTATCGAGCTTAATAGTTTTAGAATATTTTCACAATGATAAGAGTTAGATGAGCTGACATATTTATGCCAATGTGAGATCACCTCATAACTCATGAATGTGGAGAATAGTATGAATGTGTTATTCAAAGTACTCCCTAATGAGGGAAAATATTTCAGACTACATAGAGCTTATTTTATAGATCAAGTTGTATACTTCAACATATTTAAAGTTTTAAAGAGTTTGACCTTACTTTAGTTTTACTGCTGAGTTTGCCATTAGCCATAAGCTATTTTGAAAGCTTAGGTGAGACATATCTGGTGTACATGCCTCCTGCGCAGAAATTAATTGAATCCTTTGTATGCCTAACCAATCTGGGGCTGATGCAATTGCTAAACTTCCTTGTGGTTGTAATGAGAATTAAAAACTGGTAAGACTTTAAATTAGGTACATAGGACAGTATTTGAGCATGGAGCTCCATTTCAAAATATCTGACACTTAGTTGTAAATGGAATAAGAAAAGACAGAAAGCTTTGTAATGGAAGGTGATTTTTTTGAAAGGGATGTAAGCACATTTGCCTGTCCTTCTCTAGGCCTGATTTCATTTAACATTGTTTACAAATCTGGAAGAGAAAGACAACATTTTAATAAAATTCAGATGCACCTATATTAATAAATCTAGGAGAAAGTAAAGAAAGGAAAAAATAGCAAGAGAGGCAAAATATATGGCAAAACAGCTCTGAAACAAGTACACCAAACCAGACAACAAGCACACAGCAGTGTCAAAAAGAAAATTTTTCTTCAAAAGTGCTGGTTAATATGGCTAAGAAAAAGTCTCAGAAAACACAGGTTACAAGCTCAGAAAAATACTCAGAAATTTTCAGTTCCTTTCAGAATAAGGGAGTTCCAGTAACTTATTCTGCTATGTCAAAAAAAAAAAAAAAAAAAAAAGAAAAGGGTCTTACCACATAAATCAATTGCATTTAGAACTGGCAGTGATTCTCAGTCATCTTATATTATGCCCTGATCCTCAGATGGGAATATTTCCTGATCTTAATTTGCATGGAAGGATTCACTGAATTTTAAGTTGTAGAGCTGAAAACAGTTTAGAAGACAGCAGTGTAATACTTACATCTCTCTCCCATTGCCAGACATCTTGAATCCTCCAAAAGGACTTTGGGCATTTAAGGCATTGTAGCAATTTATCCTGTAATAGGAAGAGGCATTAAGTCCAACTGCGCTGTCAGAGACACCTTTGGACAACTCAGGGAGAGGCTGAAACTTGTGGAGCTAAGGACACTGTATACCTCTTAGTAATAACAAACTTGCCTCACGTTAAAAAGAAATGAGGGATTTATGCCACAAAAATATTCTGCTCCTTACTTGTAAGGAGAATGGGGTGTGGCCTGTGAGGGCTGGAGGACTTGGATGCAGCTTCAGTAATGAACTGTTAATCTGCTGACAAACCTCAGTGCCAGTTTATAGCACAGAGCTATTAGATTTGAATTTGTCTTTTTTCTCCCCTGATTTCTCATGGATCTTTAATTTACCCAGGCTTGGCATACCAGATTTCAAGCTATTAAATTCTAGAAGTAGCATTACCTATTCCTACGGACTAGAGGGAAGAGGTGACCCCTCAGTTCCTTAATGTAGAAAGTATATGATTCTTTGTGCCTTTAGCAGAAACCTCTCAGGATTCCTCTGCTGCACAGAAAGGATCATTTATACTGTTTTGTTTGTTTTCAGTAATGCCATTCAGCAGCGTGGCTGCCATGCTAATGGGAAGCAAGGCGCTTTCCAGTTTTCAATAGCATTTACCCACAGTGAGCAGAGTCACAACACCTCCCTACAGCTGTTCCATATCTTGGTTAGTGATTCACCACTAGGATGGTCTAGATAAACATTTTTCAGACAAAGGGTGCAAAACTGAGGTGCCATAATGATAGTGAGTCAAACTCTTTATCTCCAAGAGCAGGAGTGTGATAACTTCTGCCTTACCATACTGTCCCAGCCTGCATTGCTGAAGAGACTGTCAGGGCCTTGTTTATGTCATTTGTAAAAACAGCAGCTACCAGCCCAAAATCAGAATTGTTGGCTCTCTCTATAACTTCATCCATGGTTTTAAATCTCAGTATTTCTTGAACAGGCCCAAAAATCTGCAACAAGAATTAATCATTAATTAATAAACCAGCCCACTCAGAGGCATTTTATTCTGGTTTTATTCTGCATTTTTAATTGTCTTCTCTCTCCTGTTGCACTCTTTACAAATTCCCACAGCAACATTTAATAGTGATAACAGCTGTCTGTAAAACTGCATGAATTTCTCAAAGCAGTTGCCTCAGTGGAACTCATCCATTCTTCCCTTATCTGTTCTTTGAGGTCTGAGACTTTAGAGCCAATGACAAAAATTGAGATTCTTTACCCAACTGATGTCATGAGTTGCTGTGTGCATAAGGAGTTCTGAAAAGATTTTACTCTCTTTTTTTTTTTTTTTAATATAGCAGTAATTTTCTTCCTAAAGCTTTTGTCTCAGAAAGCAAACAAAAGGAAAAAAATCATGTTTAGGGCATTCTAAAATGATCTTGTCCGTGTGTGTGAATACCTCCTCCTTGGCAATCCGCATGTCATCTGTTACATTGGAAAACACCGTAGGTTCAATGAAGAAGCCCTTTCTTCCTAGCCCTTTACCCCCACATTCAAGTTTCGCTCCTTCAGTAATGCCGCTTTGAATCAGTTCCAAGATCTTGTTGTATTGTTTTTTATCAATCTGAAAGAGAGAAGAAGCCGTTTGACTTGCAGATTGTGCACCTGACAATCAAGTCAAAATAGTTTTTTAGGCAAGTCATGTCCCAGTGAGTAGACTCATGCTTATATTCATTACTCTTTGAGCTGGAGATGCCAAAGATCTACAAACAGCTGCTGACTGTAACCTAAGGCTCAGTCTTCTTAAGGATGTGTCCCCTTTTGTATGTGGCTTAACTCACATTCTTGCTAAGCAATCTGGTTTATAAGCACAAACAGAGCAGATGATTGTTATTTTTTGTCCCAGGTTAACTTCCTGAAAATGGTATAAGCCCAGCTGGTTATTAGTGGCAGGAACATTTTCTAAAGACCTATTTCTAATTCTGCCCATCTTTTCCTTAGAATTCCTGGCTCTCTAGTGGTCTACAAGCACAGCTACGGTTGTAGACAATTCTTGAAAGTAAGTGCCCACAGAGACTTTTGAGAGCTTCCCACAGTTTACAGTTGTATCTTGGAGGCTGAAGATCAGAATCTTGCTGTTAAAGCTGGGAGGCAAACTTATTGATATTTAAGATGAGAGTTCTTACTTAACAAGAAACACCTCTGAGCTGCACAGATTATCTGCTCTGCTACAATTTTAATCTGTAAAACGTTTATCATGTCAGCTACCCTGGACGGTGAGTGAATATGTACTGACTGACCTCTGTCCTAGTAGAGTTTAAATGCTTCCAGGCACCTTCTGGGCTGTAGAGCTGAAGCACTATTCCTTTACCTGTGGACCTTGTTCTGTAGTTGGGTCAAAAGGACTCCCCACAACTCTCCTCTTTGCACGTTCTACGCTTCTTCTAACAAACTCTTCATAGATTGATTCTTCCACATAAATCCGTGAGCCTGCAGTGCAGCATTGACCTTGATTGAAGAAGACCCCTTGGTGAGCTTGTTCCACAGCATAGTCCACTAGAAAACCAAGACAGCATATGTTGCTCTGAAACATCGTTGACACATCCGCTATTGCACCAGTGTCATGTGTATTACATAGTGCCACCAAAACTTCAAAGCAGAAGTAGGATTTGCTTAAAAAGAAAACAAAACAGTGACCAAATCAAAACATACTATTGTTGTGTTGGGTCATAAATGAAGATGATTAATTTCATTTTGTGTCGTAATCCCTGTGAAAATATGGGGTTTTTAAGCATGTCGAAAGTTGATTTTTTTCCCCATTTCTTCCACCCTGGACACAGCTATACTGGAAGGATACTGGGAGCATTACAACTGTTTCAGAAACACTAGACTGCAAGGGACCACTTGGGACTTTAGGCATCGTCCAGGTGAAGAAGGGTCCATAGGTAATAAATTCCACATGCCATCTTGTGACACAAGCCACAAAATATTGCTCAATACCCCACTGCAAAAATTAAATCAAGACAGTGCTTTAGCAGTCTATAGGGGTAGGGTATGCAAGAATAATTTCACCAATGTCTTATTGGTGACAACATGTAATTTATCAACATGTAATTTATCAACTAAAACTCTTAAGAGACCCTAGGAAGCGGATTGTGCCCCACATTACAGAAGTCTGTCTAACTGGGGTCAGTAGAGGAGGGGAAAATTTGTCTGTGATCCCAAGTTTGCACTTGGTTTAGTACTGCATATGTGAGAATTACAGTCAACCAAGTACTTGAGAGAATTTGACTTTGATAATAGTAAGACCTATCCTTCCCAAAAAGCCAGATTATTTTTCTGCAACACAGAAACATCTTCTTGGCCTATACAGGTGACTGGATAAGGCTTTAAAAATATAGGTCAATTATAGAACAATCAACTCTTGATTTCTACTCTAACTTCCTTGGAGGTACAACTAACACATCCACTATCCAAGCAGGAGAGAGGATCCAGTCATATTTAGACATTCAGAGCTAAATTCTCCCATTGGGTGTAATAGCTGACTAGACAAGAATATTGAATTCATCCCTAACCAGTGATGCCCTGCAGCACTGTAATACCTCTGTTATCAGCTGTAGCACTTTGGAACATTGCTTAAAGTACAATATTTCATGGAAGAAACAAAGCAACAGTGCTTTACTTTCAGCACATCCTAGACAACTCCATCTAACAGAAATGTCTTATTCTGCCCTCAGTGTGGTCTTGAAAAAAAATTATATGGGGTGTTCTCTGGACCACATTCAAATTTTCCCAGGCAGCTCCATGGAGATTGAAAACACTAGTGGATAGAACTGATTAACTGATGTTTCTTCCTCTATTGTTAACACAGTTTTTCACCATGAGGGGCTCTAACCATTCTTCTCTGTTTTTTTGGTGCACTCAACTTGGCACACGGTGTTCCTCAAACAGAACAAACAGCTCCTTTGGAATGGTGAGCAAATTGTCTGCTGTTCTTAAATAATCAGAGCTTTGAAGTCTGAATCTCAGGTTAAGTGCTGGTGGCTGTAATTATGGGAAGACCAGAGAGATTTAGTGTGATACACTGTGGAACAGACAGTCCTGAAGAAGGCTGTGCTCTCCTCTGTGCCCTGTTATTCCCCTGTTGCCTGCAACTTCTCCCCAGGTCCTCAACCTTATTTGGCAGATACGGCAAGTCACAGATAAACTACAGCTCTGTGTGGCAGCTAGGAGCATTTGTCCTTCCCCTGTGGAAGGCCATAACACAGACCTGCCCCCAGCATATATTACTCTACTAGAAGCGTTCAGGTGATCCCATCTGCGTTAGTAGGTTAGGGACATTTGAGATGTGGGGATTTCTGGTGGGAGATACCGATGAGTAACCGGGGTAGAAGGCGGTAACATCTGCATCTGTCTCCAGTTGGCAGGATCCTTTTTAGTTACCTGGATGACTGTGGCTGTAATTTAGACCCCCAACTTGGTAAAACATTTCTATGTAGACACACTGAAAGTTCTTAAGCTTTCCCTTGTCTTTCAGACATTGGTAAGTTTTGAAAATGGATATAGGATTGTAACCAACTCTTGTAATTCATGCTATTCAGAATCATTCTTATATTCACTTTCCCCTTTTAAATTAAAAGACCAAATCCTTATATGTCTATTTGTTTGGGGTTACAAAGTTCCCAGAAAATGCAGAGTACAGTGTGCCTGCACACAGCCTGAAACAATAGCTCAAAGCAAGGTGTGAACTGTCCCATTCATCTTAATGGGGTGTTAACTTCAAAACCTCCTGCTGACAATTTAGACAGCAACATTTTTAACTATTTCATTGCCGATCATTTAAGCAGAAACATCCAGTTTGTGTTTTTATCCTATCCTAAACAGCTGTCCTCTACCTTCTCAGGTGCCAAAAATCTCAGCTGCACAACATCATCCAGCTGCCAAAATCTTCAGCTCCCTGCTGACAGTGGCAATGAGGATATTTCAATACACAATTCTTCAATTGGGAAAATTTTAAAATTTGAATTATCTCCATTTATACCTACTATCAAAACAGCTTAACAAAGGAATACTGCACTGGCTAGATTCGCAACTCAAGGGTAAATTAAGGCTCTCCCTTTTTATATTTGCCATGAAGCAAGAAAAATCACAGAATTTCCATATTTAAAGCGCTAAACCACCTTGCTGCAGAGTTTAGGATGACAAATGTGTATGGGACCATGACTGTGAATAACACCGTTTCTGTATGCTTGATTATAACTTTTTTCTGCTTTCTTGTTGTCTATGAATCTGTGGGTTCAAATGTTGTCTTTTCTATAAGAAGTATCACACCTTAGGCTGCTTCTGTAAGATTAAAAAGTGCGATTAGATACAGCTATATTGGTCCATTTCACTTTGTAGGAAAGATACGCCCTAAAATGAAAAAAAAAAAAAAGACACCACACAAACATGTTTTTAAGAAAAATATGGAAGTGCTGACTTACAATCAGCATCTGCAAAAATAATGTTTGGGCTTTTCCCACCCAGCTCCAGTGTAACTCTCTTCAAATTACTCCTTCCAGCTGCTTCTTGGATCAGCTTCCCAACCTGAAAGGAAATGGAGACACATTTTACAGGGAATGTAGTCATACAGTTCACTTTAACAGCCAATGTTGGCTATCACTGGAACAGAGCTTTAAATAATCCAGCAGGTTCTTCAATCCAAACAGATTCTCATCAGCAGTGGACAGCTTTCCAGTTTTTTTTCTAGAAATTGAGAGGGGATAAAGCACAGCACTAAGTGTTTGTACCCTTCATCCGTTTGTATCTATGCTAAAACAGCCTGGGGCTTTCTTTTAGGGTGCTTTAGGAGGGCTGAATTAAAAATCTGAAATTGGTGTAACTAGAATTACTTCCATCCAAACTAATGGCATGTTCACAAGGTTTCAGATACTATTATTAAGAGGTTTAGTTATATGATTTTTAGTGGAAAAAAATAGATCTGATATCTGAGTATGTGTTAAGCATGTATTAAGCTTATTACTATTCATTAGTAATAACTGCTATCATACTTCTGTATATAGTCCAATGTTAGCTACTCCAGATGATCACTGCTTTTAGAATTTATTTCACTTTTACTACTTATAGTTACTAAACCGCTAGCCAGCCTGTTTGTAGGATGGCATGGGTTCTCCTCAAAATAGTTTTCAGTGCCAAAGGTTTAACTAATTTGACCATGAAATCATGATCTAGAATATGTCAAATTCTAATCAAATCATCAGCCTTTTCTGCAAGATTAACAGCACATAGCAGAATACCAAGTGGGGCAAGAAGTTGCAAAAGCATCATCCCAGAACTTACCCTCAGCTGCACCACGATAATCTTACTATGCGTTGAGGAGGTCAAAAGCACCTCCAAAATGTCTTTGTAGATTGTGGGGTCAGCTGGAGCAGAATGTAGCCCTGTGGCTGGAGCAGCCGCAAATTGCAGATCTCGCCAAGGAACATGAAGGTAGATTAAATGGAGTAGCAATCTGACAGCTACATGTTTGATGTGTTTCCACATCAGTACAGTTGGAGAGGCAGCTGTGCTCCCTGTAAATTATCCCCTCCCTGGATCAATGAATCCAAAATAGATTGGATTTTATACTGTTGCAGTGTAACTATGCCCATTTTGCAGCTAAGGAAGTAATCACAGGTAGATTTAGGCCCCTACATGGTAAAACACAGGATTAAAAGTATTGAAGCTTGAGAACCTTGATAAGTGCTTTCTTTTAACTGGGGCATGTTTTAAGGTCACACAGAAAGTTACATGTGAAGTGAGATGGGAGTGAGTCCAGAGCTGGACTTTTTTCTCCACGTAGTACTCTGGTCTCTCTAGCTGTCTTCTATTTCTAAGGTAAGGTGAGTGAGATTCCCTGCAGTAAAGGGTTAATGGATAAGAAGCTGAACCTCTTAGAGAACTGAAGGCAGTCTGCTGGAGAAAGTTAAGTCAGCACTGGAGTAATCAGAAAGCAAATGAAACAGAAACCAGGGCCCCCACAGAAAAAACAAAGCAAAACCCCCACAGGATAATGAAGGAATTGTCAACCACTTTGTGTACCTTTCTGATTAGCTGTTTATCTGGTGATACCACAGTCGAGTGTGACTGAGGTTATTTTAAAAAAAAAAAAAATTAAAATTAGCTTCTTTACCCCTGTATTGGTGGAATGGAGTGTTGATATTATCATGAAATTCCTTACATATTCCCTTAATTGGAGCTGATTTTATTGCTATGTTTGAGTGACAGCCAGAAGTGAACATGAAAAAGAAGGACCCTTTCTGCCCTCCACCCCCACCACATACATCGAACACGTCATCTGGAAATTCCAGTCTCTCGCACTTTGCTGAAAATGTACACTGGAAACCAGTGAGAGTGCTGTGTTTATAGCCAGTGCCAGCCAATGCCATTCACACCCTTACTGCCTTGAACCTCCCCCTCTCAAAGAACGACCACCACCTATTTCACCTCAAAAATCCACAGAGAGCAGAACAGACCAAGGAAGCCGGAGCAATGCGTCCAACCCACCGTCTTTCCACCTTCCATTCTACCACTTTAATGTCAAAACTCTTTTGTCCATGTAAGTAAAGATTTTGAAAGGGTTTTATGCAAACAAGTGATTGGCAAGTATGCAAGTCCAAATATTATGTATATGACAAATATTAAAGTCCAAAGGGCTTGGAGATGATGGTGTTGATTTGGAAAAGTATGATCCAGAGTATTGTTAATACAGGGAGGTGGTTGTCCTGTTTCCAAGTATAAATTTAACAGACAGCTTCACTGCGTCCCTCCCGTTAGAAATCAGTGTAGACATCAGGATGGTAGGGCTCACGCTGCTCAGCATTTTTGTTCACTGTGCTCCTATTGTGCCTTATGCACTTACAGGTTGAGAAAAGTCTTAGGGAAGGCACCAGCGCTGTGATTATTTAGTGACAAAGGCAGCCTTTTGTGACTGACCCTCTCTTTATGGAGAAAGACAGCATGAAAGGGATAAGTGATAGTGTTGCAATCCGTATGGCCTTTCAGTACATGCTTCCTGTGGTGTCTCTCAGCTATTCTCTGGGAGCTCCCAATAGGCAGTACAGCCTTGCGAGGGAACACTGGAAGAGAGGACTCCCCCACAGATAATGGAGCTGTGCGATTATTCAGCAGGAAAAAAGGAATGTTGGCAGAGAAAGCCCTGACTCCCCATCCTTGTTTTGAATAGGCTTCAAGATTGATATCAGGAGTATCCCTGGATAGCTTGTGAAGTACCATAACCTTGTAAGCTGCATGGAGGGCGAGGCAGATGTAATTTGGCCCATCTCAAAGAAAACAATTTGTTATTCAGAACAACAACAACAAAAAAGATTAAAGAAGCATTTTGTGGCACCCCTGTGCAAAAAAGCTATTTGAAGAATAGTCCTGGAAGGGTCTGTTTCTGGGCTGTGAACTGTATGACGTTAGGCATTGAGAGTGTATTGTGATATAAAACGTTTGATTGTTGCTTATTTATGCTTTCTGTGTTGGGAAGTTTAATGTCTCTTTCAAGAGAAGCCTTATGCAGTCACATTTTAAATAGTGCAGAAATTCAAAATAGCCCGTTGCCTTTCATGGTCCCTTAATTTTCTGTTTGCAGACAGAAATCAATGTTTCT